AAGTTGAGATTGACCCGTCTCGACCAGAAAGGCGAGTGAGGATTGGAGTCGGCCTCCGTGAGGAGGTGCGAGAGGAAGTCATCAAGGTGCTCCGAGAAAACCGCCTAGTTTTTGCGTGGGGGCCCGAAGATATGCCTGGAGTGGACATGTCTATAATTTCTCATCGGCTCGCCGTCGACCCTGGCCACCGACCTGTGATCCAGAAGAAGCGATACCTGGCTAATGATCGCAGAGAATTCGTCAAGAAAGAGGTAAATACACTGCTGGCCGCTGGCCATATCCGGGAAGTCAAGTATCCGGAATGGTTAGCCAATGTGGTGCTTGTGCCGAAACCACCAGCCTGGAGGATGTGTGTAGATTACACCGACCTTAAAAAAGCTTGCCCAAAGGACCCTTGTCCTTTGCCCAGGATTGATTAGTTGGTCGACGAGACGGCATGTTCGGCGTTATTGAGCTTCATGGATGCCTTCCGAGGGTATCACCAAATCTACATGCACAAGGCCAATGAGGAGAAAACAACCTTCTTGACCCCGAATGGCGTATACTGTTACCAAGTCATGCTCTTCGGACTCAAAAATGCGGGAGCCACGTATACACAAATGGTCGCCCAGCTGTTTCAGGACTTGTTGGGAAAATCCATGGCGGCATACGTGGATGATATGCTGGTGAAGAGTCGGGAAGAAGTCAGTCATGCCGGGGACTTAGCCGACTGCTTCCAGGTAATGCTTAAGTATAATTTACGACTTAACCCCAATAAATGTGCCTTTGCTGTGCAAGGGGGGAAGTTCTTGGGATACATGGTAACCAAGAGAGGCATTGAGCCCAACCCCGAGAAGGTACATGCCATAATGGATATGCAGCCTCCCAGCACCGTTAAGGATCTGCAACGACTGACTGGTCGACTGGCCGCCCTAAGCCGTTTCCTAAGTAAGTCGGCGGATAAGACTGTGCCCTTCTTCGAGGCCATGAAGGAAAAGGAGGGTTTCGCGTGGACGGCCGAGTGTCAGCACTCCTTCGAAGAGCTGAAAAGATATCTCTCCACACCTCCGGTGCTGTCCACCCCCCAGGTCGGCGAACCTTTATTCTTATATCTGGCGACGTCCCCCAAGGCTGTGAGCTCGGTACTTGTTCGAGAAGAGGAGCGGACTCAACACCCGGTGTATTATGTGAGTCATTCCCTAAAATCGGCTAAAACTCGATACACACCTCTGGAGAAGATAGTTTACGCCTTGGTGATCACAGTGCAAAAATTAGCACCTTACTTCCAGGCTCACACCGTTCGAGTCCTGACAGACCAGCCTCTGGGAAGTGTGTTGCGAACTCCCACGTCGTCTGGGCGACTCGTGAAATGGGCAATAGAGTTAACCCAATACGGAATCGAGTACCAGCCTCGCCCTTCGATTAAGGGGCAGGCCTTGGTCGACTTCTTGGTCGAGTGCACTGCGGGAGAAGATGACAAGGTCACGGTCTCGGAGGATGGCCCCGGCGAATGGTGGGAGATGCACGCGGATGGAGCTGCAAGTCGCTAACACTGTGGCGGCGGAGTCATGCTAATTACACCCGAAGGGTTCAGGCTCTATTACGCTCTGAGTTACCTATTTCAGACATCCAATAATGAGGCCGAGTACGAGGCAGCACTGGGAGGTCTACGACTTGCCAGGACGTTAGGGGCGGACCGCCTGCGGATCAAGACTGACTCGCGCTTGGTGGTAGGACAAGTGTCTGGAACCTACGAAGCTAAAAACGCCCGGATGGCCCAATACAAAGAAAAGATAGTGGAACTATTGAAGGGATTCGTTGCCTACGAGATAGAGTACATTTCGCGGGCCGACAACACGAAGGCAGACATACTATCAAAGATCGCTTTGGAAGGAGTGCCGGACCATCTTGTGAAGATTTGTCAAAAGGAGGAGTTGCTTCGACCCAGCATAGAGGAAACAACCATGGAGGTTCAACAAGTGACGACACAGGAATGGGATCGTGACAAGAACCCTGAAATGTTCTAGATGGAAGACATTCGCCGCTACATAGAGGAGGGAGAATTGCCAGACGACCCTGGGGTCGCCGCACGGGTTCGCCACAAGGCTCCGTCGTTCGAGATTATAGACGGGCAGTTGTATAAGCAATCGTTCGGGGGTTCTCTCCTCAGATGCGTACTTAGGATGGAGGCGAAGAAGATAATGGACGAGGCTCACCGTGGAATATGCGCGGCCCACCAAGGTGCTCACACTCTCGCCCGAAAGCTAGTCGTCCAGGGCTACTATTGGCCCACTATGATGAGAGACTGCATCGAGTGGATAGCCAAATGCGTAGTATGTTAAGCATTTGTCCGAAAGGATACTCGACCAGCTACCTTTTACACGCCGGTCACCACGGCCATTCCATTCGCGAAATGGGGTATTGACCTGCTAGGTCCTCTACCGGTTGCCCCCGGGCGTCTAAAGTTTTGTGTGGTAGCCATCGATTACTTTACCAAGTGGATTGAAGCCGAGCCCCTGGCCACCATCACGGAGTATCAATGCCGACGTTTCCTGTGGAAGAAAGTGATTTGTCGTTTTGGGCTACCCGAACATATAGTTAGCGACAACGGTCGACAGTTTGACTGCGACCCTTCGCCAATTTTTGCCGACAACACAGCATACGACACACTAAAGTGTTGGTCGCCTACCCCTAGGCCAATGGGCAGGTTGAAAATGCAAATCATACGATTGTGGATGGTATCCGGAAGAAGTTAGAGGATGTCGGAGGAAACTGGGCGGACGAGCTTGACCGAGTCTTATGGGTATATCGGACTACCCAAAGACGGGCGACCGACGAGAGCCCATTCTCTTTAGCATACGGCTTCGAGGCCAAGGTACCCGTAGAGGTCGTCTAGCTCACTCACAGAGTCCACAACTATTCGGACGAAGGAAACGAGGAAAGCCTTATGATCGAAAAGAACTTCCTGGAAGAGCGAAGGGAGACCGTGCATGCCCGCATGGTGGAGTATCAGCAGACTGTGAAGAGATACCGGGATCGGCGAATTCGACCACGAACCTTTCAGGTGGGCGACCTTGTGCTACGAGATCGGCAGGCTAGTCAGCCCACGGAGGGGGGAAAATTCGCTGCCAAATGGGAGAGACCTTATCGTATTGCCATTGTGGTCCAAGCCGGCACATACAAGTTGGAGACGCTAGAAAGAAAGCCCGTCGATCGAATCTGGAATGTAATCCACTTAAAGAAATACTACCAGTAAAAGGTCAGCCTCATGTATTCATTTGAAATCCGACTTTGAATAAAATGCCTATTGCTTTGCGCATTTTGGCAATAGTTTCTAAGTAAGAAAAAGCCTAAAGGGTCGCCTCGACTGAGGGATTTGGCGAGAAGAGATGGGAAACAAGGGCACTGACCCTTAGACGTTTCCGAGAAAAAGCCTACAGGAGTCGCCTCGACTGAGGGACTCGGCGAGAAAAGAAAGAAACGATGGGGCACTGATCCTAAACAGTTTCTAAGTGAGAAGAAGCCTAAAGGGTCGCCTCGACTGAGGGACTTGGCGAGAAGAGATGGGAAACAAGGGCACTGACCCTTAGACGTTTCCGAGAAAAAGCCTACAGGAGTCGCCTCGACTGAGGGACTCGGCGAGAAAAGAAAGAAACGATGGGGGCACTGACCCTAAACAGTTTCTAAGTGAGAAAAAGCCTAAAGGTTCGCCGCGACTGAGGGACTCAGCGAGAAGAGATGGGAAACAAGGGCACTGACCCTTAGACATTTTCGATGGTGATGCTATGATGAGTCTATTGATGTTTCCTCTTCTCGTTTTAAAGGATATATACTATATTCCACTGTCTCGAATGGTTTTTATTATATTTATATATATTGATACTCAACGCGTATTGGTGCGTTACCAGCATTATTCGCTAACGGGTGTTATCCCTTGTTTTACAGGTTTTGAGTAGACCCAGGAGAGTGCGCTAGTGGAAGAGCTAGATAGCGTAGTCTTTCCTTTTGATAGTTTTAGATTGTTGGCCTGTGAGCCTAGCTTATGAATACTTAACTGTTGTTTGGTTTTGACTTTAGATTTCTAGCCTGTGCATCTATGGTTAGATAGATGTGGCATGACATCCCTGTATTTGGTTAATTAGCTTCCGCTTTATCTTAAATGAATGACTAGTTTATCCTTTACAATTAAGTTTTGAAAATTTAAATTGGTGTTAAAATCGGGGGTGTTACAGTTGGTATTAGAGCCTAGGATGTTAAGAGTTCGACTTTAAGAACCTAGGATTGAGCCTAGGTTAGTGCTTGTAGTTTGAGACTTTAAGTTACTTAAGAAAGCCTTTAAGTGTTTAAGTGCCTAAGTATAGGATTCTTAGGACGCGCGGTGAGGATGTGAGTTACCTTTGTTATCTGTGTAGTTCTCTTATCTTGTTCTGTTGTTAGCGCTAGTAGTTGTGGTTGTTGCTCTCGGTTGGTTTGCGCCTTCGCGGTAAGTTGCGTCGTTTTGGCTTTCGCTAAAGGCTTGATGAAGACTGTGAATAAGAGAAGGAAGACTCGAAGGCCTGCTGATGCAAGGTAGTCAATTCATGGTGTTTGCAACTGGACACGTGGTCAACTCAAAGAAGAAGGTTGCGTTACTCGCGATCTGGAGTCAGTTGTAACAATCCCCGTCCCAGCAAGTGGCGTCGTCTCTGGTACAGTAGCATCTATCAAATCTGCGTTAACCTCTGGAGTTGAAGTCTAAGTTTCACGCAGCTGAAGCCCGACAAGAAGCAAATACGTCGTTTGGAGTTTGAAGATCAAGACTTGAAGACCCTCACTCGCGAGGGGAAGTCAAGAGCGGACACAAACGCTCTAAGAAGAGGTCAACTCATGCTAAGTGGTCGTCTTTGGATCAACGCAATAGAAACCTCCAAGAGTTAAAGAACTAAGAGTCAACCTTGGACTTTTAAAGCACGAAAAGTTGAAGTGTAAGTTTGAGGCGTTCAACATAGAAGTAGTTCTACCTACCCTCGAAGAAACAAAAAATGGGCAAGTTCGAAGCAATGAACTTGGAGTTAATGAGGAACAAGATGGCTAAAAAGGAAAAGCTTGGACCTTTAAGGTACACGGAAAAGAAGAACCACGTTGTTGGTAAGTCGTCTGACCCTGTGAGACGTGAAGAAGTTGGGAAGTATCTGGTAAAGGAGGGAAACTTATACCTTAGCCGGCACACCCTGAAAGTGATGGCTAACATGAAGACTTTCGGTAAGGAGGTTTGCAACAAGAAGGAAAGAAGAAGTAACCGAGTTGCAATCAACTGATGGAGTTGTCAAAAGACTAAAATCGACAAGGGCGAATCTAAAGGACAGATTTAATCACCAAGTGTTCCTAAGTTAAAAGTAGGACTCTGTGCCAATGATTCATGGTAAGAGATCTATCCTTAACAAAAACCAGGCAAGAACAAGAAGTAACTAAACTCGTGATTAGAAGTTTGAACAGTCAAAAGATAAGACTGACAAGAGTGAACTTAAGGACGAGTTCTATTGTTGGATCTTCATAAGTAAGACAGGTTCGTGTGGCAACAAAGTTTTGAGGGGAGACTTACTGTTAATCAAGACAAGAAAAAACAAAGTTGGTTTGTAGCTGACTACCTTATGAAGATTGCAAGGTTATCAACCGTGAACGAGTTTTAACCTATAGAGCATTTAGTAAGGACTTGAGTGAACCTGAGTAAGGAATCATGGGTTGTCTCAAGATGTTGACTTTGATAAAGATTTGACTCACGCTATACTTTTGGAAAGGTACTATCGTTTGTGTTAAAGTGTGAGGTCGCAGTTGAATCTACGATTCAATCAGCTAAGAAGTGGTTAACGAGAAGGAACCATGCAAACCAAGAAGGCAAGTTGGGAACTTACGCTATGGATTTACGAAGGCCGTGGAATGTGCCCTAAAGACGGATCAAGTTTTCCTTACAGTGGTGGTTATTGTCAAGCATTCAAAGGATTCCTTACAAGATTTTGTGATATCAAGAGTACAGAAATTCACGATGCTATGGAAGGTACAAGGGATACTCTGGTGCTAGACCTCGATGGTCTTAAGGTTCGACAAGGAAGAAAGTTTGGTTTGTAAAAATCACCGAAGTCTGGGATGACAAGAACAGACAACCGGGTGCACTTAAAGATAGAGGAAAGCGTTGGTCAGTGTTTTAACCGATAATGGATTAACAAGAATGGACAACAAGCCGAATCTTCAATATGTGTAGCTCATGTGTGTAAATGTTTGAAAAATAAATAAAATACATAAATAGCAAAACCTTAGATGACGTAGCATAAGATGCAGTATTTACAAAAGGCATAGGTCACTCACTGATGCTTCGAAATAGAAATGTACACTCTCAAATCTATAGAAAAATAAAATCAATCAAGGGTTTAGATGAATCGATGTTATATAGGGAGTCACCAGTAAAGTCAATCAACAAAAGTTGTATACTAATAATACTTAAATAGTTAAATCGAATTGATATGGTATTTTCACTTGTACCCTCACAATTCATACCGTCCAACCTGAACCCCCAAATAATTTTAGTCAAGCAATCATACCAGCTCCAAATCTATTCTAGATACCTAAGAAGATTTGTTAAAGAATAAATTAAAAAAGAATTGAAGTAGAGTAGGAAACCAACATACCCAAACCAACCAAACCTACGACAACACACCTCAATACCATGGACCCCAGCCCCCTACGCTCCGGTGGCCGGAGCAAGGGTTCCGGTGGCGATGGTCCGATGATTGATCTGATGGTTGGGGTAAGAAGCTGATGATGCGAAGAAGCCAGCGATGTGAACGCCACCTCCATCTAGCAATATATATATATATATATATATATATATATATATATATATATATATATATATATATATATATATATATATACATATATGTATATATATATACATATATGTATATATATATACATATATATATACATATATATATATATATATATATATACATATATGTATATATATATATATATATATATATATATATATATATATATATATATATGTATATATATATAGAGGATCATATGAGGTCATGTTCCTACATGTGGACTGTGGACAGAATCTGGCCTTTGATTTTGAGTTGATCTGTGGTTCATATTTCTTTGGCTATTTTTGGTTTTTTTTTTTTATTTCATATTTTCCCCGTGATTGTGGTAAGGGCTGTATAGTCTTTGCTTCTTTTTTTTTTTTTTCCTTTTATTTTTTGGGGTTTTATTTTCGGATGATTTGCTTGATTTTAGGTGTATTGTATATGGTAAATTAAGATATTGTTCATTTAAATTATGATGCAGTGTGTCTCTTTATATTCGTTGTAGTTTTCTGTGGTTTTTGTGTGTGTTGTTCCAGAGTGTGCAGTCTTCATTGTTCTTTTTTGCGGCATTCTCTGTGCAAAGGCCTATGGATTCTCCAGATTAGGGTTTTAATTTGTTTCGTCTATATATTTATTGAGCAGTAGGTGTTGTTTGGTTTGTGCATGATTAGGTGTTAATGTGTAAGATATGGGGTGGCGGTGTGGTGTATTGGCATTGGTATTTAAACACTTTAATCGTGGTATTTGGTCGTTTGATTAGTCATTGACGTAGGGATGGGGCTTTTTTTTGTTCTCGTTAGTAGTCGTGGTTTATGGGTTATGAAATATATATTATTTGGTTGTTGTAATTCTCATTTTATTTTTTTTGTTATTTCCATTGGCTTTTGGTGTTCGTCTGTATTTTGTATTGCTTTTTTATGCGGGTTTCCTTGTTGGTTGAACAACATGAGTTTGTAGGTTTGTGCATTGTCTGGTACATGTCCTTTGCATTGTATAATTTTTTGGCGCAATCCTATTCATTGGGTGTTTTGTTTCGGTTTTCATTTTTGTATTCCGTTTTTTAGCCCTTAAGTTATGTTATCGGTCTTTTTTCGTGGTTTATTTCCTGTGGGTTTTATTTGTTTTTTTTTTCGTATTTGTTCGAAGGGTTCTGGCTGGGGTGGTTACTTCGTAGTGTGCATATGTTGTCATTTGAAGTGTGCAACCAGTATGTTACGGTTTTTTTTTAAGTTTTTATGTGGAGCATGTTGGTTTTGATTGTTTTTTTTTTTTTTTTTTTTTTTGTTTATGTGTGTGTTTCTGGGTGATGTTTGTGCAGTACGTTCGGGATCGATTCAAGGTTGTGTTATTGACGTGTCTCCCGATGGAACTAAGTTCTGGACTCCTTCGTGTGATGAGGTGGTTAGGCCTTTTGAGGGGCAGCTTTTTCCTTCTCTTGCTCACGGTATTGTTTTTAATCGCCAGTATGGGTCTCTTTTTGGTTTTGACGTACGTTGTAGTTCAGTGCGTAAGAATAGGGAGGGTGTGGTTGTAAAAAACTTGTTGGTTTGTTCGCGTGAGGGATTCAAGCCAGGGGGGCATGGACCCGGTGTTGTGAATGGTGCGTTGGATCAACCAGCTGTGGCTCTAAAGTGCCGGCGTGTTTCGAATATAGTGGGTTGCAAAGCTAGGATGTTGTTGAAGATGGTTGACGATGGGGTTTTTGTGGTTCATTTCATTGAGCACCGACATAATCATTGTCTTTGCTCGGATGTGGCTAGGCCGTTCCTGCGGGTTAATCGTTCCATAGATGTTCAATACCAAATTTTTATGCTTAAGTGTGCCAGGGCCAACGTTGGGCCTAATAGGTCATTTCGCTTGGCTAGGGAGTTTGCGGGGTCATATTCCAATGTTGGTGCGACATGTGTGGACTTTAAAAACTTGAAGCGTGACTTTATGGCGTATATTGGCACTTCTGATGCTCATGTTGTTGTGAAAAAATATGCTAAGAAGGTAGAAGATTGCCCAGACTATTTCTTTAAATATGATTTGGATTCTGAGGATCAGTTACGGAGGGTGTTTTGGGCTGACCCTATTGCGAAGGAAAATTATTTAACTTTTGGCGATGTGGTGTCGTTTGATGCGACTTATGGTACTAATAGGTAAGCCACGTTTTTTTCTAAAAAAATCCCAGTACTTTGTTTATTTTTAAATTGCTTGTTTGTGCAGTTTGGTCTTTTTTATTTGTGCATGCAGTGCGCTAACGCCCATAGTTCTATTCGTTTTTTGGTTTGGTGTTATGTCTTGCAGGTATGGTATGGTATTGGTTCCATTTACTGGTGTTGATAATCACAAGAGAGGCGTCACGTTTGCAATTGGTTTGATTTCTCGTGAAGATGTGGATTCTTATGTGTGGCTTCTTCAACAATTTAAATCTGCAATGGGTTGTGTGCCTAGTTTCACTATCAGTGACCAAGATCCTTCGATGCGGATTGCAGTCCCACAGGTGTTTGGTACTATGCGCCACAGGTTTTGTATGTGGCATATAATGTCAAAGGTTGGTGAGAAGGTTGGTAATGTTCTATCTAAAGACGAGGAGTTTCGACGTGCTTTGAATGATGTTGTTTGGAATGAGACGTTGTCCGTGGAGGAGTTTGAGCGGGGTTGGCAGGACGTAATGGAAAAGTATAGCCTTGGTGATCACCGGTGGTTTCGTCTAATGTATGATCTGAGATCGTATTGGATTCCTGCGTTTTTTAATGATCTTTTCATGGGTGGGCTGCTTCGCACGACATCCAGGTCCGAAGCTGTGAATAGTGTGTTTGGTAGTTGCACAAACCAACATAATAGTTTGTCTGCGATGTTCAACAATTTTGAAGGGGCTATTGATGCTCAACGTGCGACGCAGGCCAAACTGAATGCCGAATGTGAGGGCCATTTTCCTACTTCCGAGACTCCGTTGTTGATTGAGAAGCATGCGGCTGCAGTGTATACTGTTAACATTTTTTATGATGTTCAAGCCGAGGTTATTGCGGGATCTTTTTCGTGTCGTTCTGTTCGTTCAAATGTTGATGGGGTGGTAACCCGTTATGAGGTGCAAGATGGTGATGAGTTGGTGCACACGGTGATTTTTGACTCTGGTAATATTGTTGTGGAGTGCACGTGTAACATGTTTACACGGGTTGAGTTACTTTGTCGTCATATTTTCTGGGTTTTCAAGGACCGCAAGGTTGTTTCTATCCCTTCTCGGTATGTTGTTTCACGTTGGACTAGGGGTGCTTGTGTGCGGCAGTTGTTGGGGGTTCAACGTCGGGGGTCGGCGGATGTAGATGTCGCTATTGGTGAAGCTTGGGCAGAATTCTTCTCATGCATGATCATCGCGTCACGGAGTGTTGATAATGTTATGAAGCTGACTGCATATTTGAAAGATTTCAACGCTAATTTATTGGCTGAGAATGGTCCCAACGATCCCTCTTCTTCTTCTTCTTCTAAGAAGCAACTTTTTGAGGTGTTTTGCGGTGCTTCGCTCGATGGTGAAGTTCATATTCGTCCTCCTCCTATCTCCATTAACAAGGGTGGTGGCAAACGTTTCAAAAGTTCAAGGGAATTAGCTATTGAAAAGGCTGGACGTCGTCAACGACAATGCCAAACTTGTGAAAAGTATGGCCATAATAGTCATACATGCCCGATGCGGAACGTAAACATTTGAGGGCGGGGCTCGTACTGGTCTTTGAATTTTATTTAAGCTTCAACACATTGCTATGGTTTTTACTTCTCCAATGACTTGTTCTTATTTTGCATTTTCTATTGGTTTTAAAATAATGGGTTTGTTTTGTTTTGTTTATTGGGTTTGTTTTCAAATATGTGGAACAATTTTATGACATGCGTTTTTTACATAGATTTTGTCAATTTCTCAATGCCCTGTTATTATTATTGTGGCTTCGTTACTTCTTTAAATGACATGCCTTTGGTATTGTTTTATTTTGCTTCCCCATTTTTTTAACCATTCCCCAATTGCACAGTGTTGTTTCGTGCCTTTGCACATCGTTTCTGGTATTTTGACCAATATTACACATATGCTTCCTCTTGCATTGCACATCACTTCAAGTTTTCTTGCAATCATGCACATTCCATCGGGGATTGCTACTGGTTGCACATTCACGTACGGAGTCGTTGCACGATTCCTGGCTAATGAATATATTGCATTTCTATAACCTTCGTTGTTGCACATCCAACTTTAGGGTTTACTACTGGTTGCACGTTCAAGTACGGGGTCGTTGCACGATTCCTGATTTATGAATAAATAGCATTTCTATATTCTTCATCTTTGCACATTCCAGCTTTGTGTGTTACTACTGTTTGCACTTTCGAATATTGAGTCGCTGCATGAATTCTAACTCATAAATAAATTTCATTTTTATAACCTTCATCTTTGCACATTCCATCTGTTGGAGTATCTACTGTTTGCACATTCAAGTACGAAGTCGTTGCACGAAAGCTGAATTATGAAAATCCATTTCACGTTTCTAAACTATTGCATATTCACGTATTTTGGGTTCTTTTACGCCTTTGTTAGTAGCCCGGTGCGTGTTTGTGAACCTAATGTTGGGAATCGCGCGCAATCCCAGTATAACTACACTTTTAAGATCAAAAATAAGTTAATGCACATTTGCAAACAAAACAATTCTTCCTGGCCAATTTCAATGTTCTAGTACCAGTCGTCATCTACCTTATTCGTGTGTCTTTTAGGCATAAAAAAACTAATTCCCAATCTCAGATAAAACCACTTTCTCCAATTGCATTCTTTCTCATATTTTCCACTCAACAAGTACGCTACACCTGTTGCGTGAATTCTCCCTGGTCGAATATAGGTGAGCTTTGAAGGTTTTTGCCGTGCTGCTCATTACACTCGCTGAGCAGGATCTCCTTCATGTACCTCATTCTAAATGTTTCGATTGTGGATTTGTCTCCTTTGCGTAGTCCACATTCCCAATTCCTAGCTTGCTCCCCTATGAAGCACTCCATGTGCGTCATTGCATACACACCACTATCTGGACTTTCTTTGGCATTCCTCCATGGCATTAGCATTCTTTTTGGTTCCATGTGTAGTATTTCAGCTGCCCGTTTATAGTCCTTGTTGTCGTCTATAAAGCACCCAAGCATGTCTTTCTGCGTACATAACACATTCGGTTAGTATCTCATATCCGGGCACCATCATTCATTATATAAAACTGTAGCATAACTCTTACATATTTTCATACATGCAAAGCAGGCACTTCATTGCACATTGAATAGTGTTTCAAATGCATAACGGGTATAAATACCGATGCTCAGTACGGTAGTCCGTTGGTGTACTCTCATATCATAACATCTTCAAAGTATATACTACTCTATACGCTCATCTACCATTACTCTTTTTACCATCACTCATGCATTCTTTTTTAAATCACATTACTGTTCAACTACTTTATCTTTTTTTTTTTTTTTTCGAATTATAACCCAATTAATTTTACAAACATATAATGCGTGGTGCTTACCAAATCTGCAGGGATTTTGCCATATTTTTGTTCTTTTTTCCCAGCTGATGAACTGTCAATTATTTGCATTTTTCCTCCCCTCACATCCACGGCGATGATATAGTAGTGAGACTTGTCAAGTATTGGGAATAGAAACTACATTGCACGTTTAGCTCAAATGCTTAGCAAGTATTTTGGTAAAGTAGGCAGAAACAAATTAACACCTATTCACTGTGTTTTTGGCATTCTAACTTACCATGTCAACTTCCGGCCACGACCTGTATGGGCTGAACGCTAGCTCGTCTCTCATTTTCCTTTTAAATGACTCAAGGCGCTGTGCTCGTGTCTCTGTGTACCCCACCACTGTTTCCATCTGCACATGCATACGTATTAATATTAAATCAATTGTAATATTAAATACTATTCGTGCATTTCAAAACTTCCTTTCTTTTCAATTTGTTTACCGTAATTTTTGTTGACCTAAAGAATCTATGCGGATGGTGGTCTGGTTTTTTGCGCTCTTTGTCATTTAACACACTTGCCTATGTGTCTATTACTGTCTCATTCACCTCTTTGTCCTTGTCCAGCGTTGTAACACCCCAGATTTTCAAGACATTTAAAACTTATAATAAAGGTAGAATCTTATTAAATCCCAAGATATAAATACAAGCGTTCGGGGTGCTATGCCACACCTGGGCTAGAGAACCCAAGTGCACAGGCTAACTAACTAATATCCTCAAAGCGTAAATACGTAAACGTGGCACGCAGGCCAAAAGGGAAACTATCTACTCCTAAGTTCTAGCGCACTCCAGTGACTTAATCTTCTGTGCCTGAAAGCCAAATATATCTGTTCAGCGAGAGATGCTGGTAACCCACTCCAACGCGTTGAAATACAATACATATAGAGATATATATAGATATACGAAAACCATTTTGAGCATGAAGATATATCCTACGAACTCTAGCTTTAAAACCGGGAATGACTCGACAGATAAGGCCAGACACAAGCAACAGTCATAACAAGCATATGCAGTTCACAATAGATAAGGCAGATAAGGCAAAGCATAAACAATGATCATAACCCAACATGAACAATCCCCAATATAATCCCATGGTCACATCCCCCAAGACACTCGTAATCCCAACTCGTCCATGTCACCGCACATAACACACTTTGTTGGCGCCACAGGACCAATCGCATGCCCATACATGAGGGTCAGCGCATATAGCTCTGACACGGCCCCGCAGCACCCTGCCCCGTATCGCAACACGGAGGGGTCGATCGCAACCGACCGATGAACCGCAGCTCATCATAGTGTTTGATCGCAACCAAACAGTGGACCGCAGCCCAAGAGAATGTCATCTGACCGCAGCCAGGAAAAAGGACGAACCGCAGCTCGTATAAAAACGTTTGATCGCAACCAAACGGTGGACCGCAGCCCAAGAGTATCAATCTGACCGCAGCCAGCTTCTGAACCGCAGCTCAGGATAACCAATCCGATCGCAACCGAATTGGGGTAACACACACACATAACACATAGCACGCACATGCAACCCATATTACACATTGGGAAGGGGGAGAAAGCGCATAACAAAACCTATGCGTGATCCATCACATACTAAGAATAGTCCTAAGGGGTTCATACTCCTTCCACCTAGGTCAACGGGATACCAATTCAACTAGCATGCAATATAATAGACTCATAAACCTACGAACGGTACCCGAAACATCAAACTAGACATAGGCACGATAAACGGAGTCCGTTGGGACACCACGGGGAACGGGGGAACATCAAACGGGGAAGCCGGGATCCCAAGGTGGGATAATTTCCAGCGGGTAGCCGGTGGGTGGGGGGCCACCCGCCGGAAACTACTATTCCGGGCAGCGGGTCGCCGGCGGGCAGCTGCCCGCCAACCGGCTACCCGCTGCCGGGCGGTGTTTCACGGCCGTGGGTAGGTGGCGGGTCCCCTACCCCCCCCCCACCTACCCCCCGCTGACTCTTTTCATCACTTTTGCGTCCCGGGAACCATTGTGGAACCCGAAACCATGCTTAGACACCTTACAACGCGATTAACGACAACACGTAGACAATTAACGGATCAAATACGAGAAACGAACGGCACATAACCTATCATGTTTTTCTAGACATAATCAACACCCAAACATGCGATTTCCCCACCCGACAAACCAAGAATAATATCATACGATACAACCTAGGGTTCTAATCACTTTTATATCAACAAGAATACGATTCGTCTTCTAATTGCAAGATTCGGTAAGAATAGCACATAAACATCAAGAGCATCACACAATCATTAAGAACAACACCTAATCATCAAGAATTCCGTATAATCATCAAGGACACCATAATTATCAAGAATCTCCCAATATCAAGATTATCAAGATCCCTCATGGGATCATCACATCATACATTAATAATCATCATCATATTTTGCCAATCACAATAATATGGGGGAAACCCTAAGGGGGAATCATAGCTATGAAAATAGGTTTTGTTGAGACATGGGTTACCTCTTAGCCTTAATTAATTCCTTGGCTATGAAGGATCTTTCTTTAAGCTTTCTTGATTTCTTGATTTCTCCTAAGGGGATTCTTGGAACTCTTTGGGTGGTGAGAGATTATTGTGGTGGGGATTCTAGGTGCCTCCTAAGTTCCCTATTTATATATTTAAGACTCCTAGTTAGGGCCTGAATGGTATGGGTTTACTAATTCTATTCCTTATAGGGCTAGGGCTTGTTTTAGGGATAAGGGTCCGTGGTCCATAGTGGACCATATTAATTAAAGAGGATCCTAATCATAATCTGAATAGTAAAAGGCCTACTTCCTTTATTCCTAACAGGCTTAAGATTCTTATTCGGGCAAGGGTCCACGGTTCATGGTGGACCTTACTAATTAATTAAAGGTAAACCTAACATAATTAAATCATATTTAATTATTATTAACGGGATTAATTAAATAATTAATCCGGGATTGAAGGCCGTAACACGGGGTGTTACAAGCGTCATCATGTCCGACCTAAATGCTCGCTGTCCCTTGAAGTAGAACACCTCCTCGTTCCTGGTCATTAACAAAGCTTTTCAATTATAATTTAATTCATGAACCAAGATCTTCTAATGCTTTTGTATTTAGTCTTTCTTACACATCAGCTTCCATAGACTCTATCAGCCACTGCCTCACGTCATTTGGTGTAGGTGAGTACCAGTTTGTGAGTTCTCTTCGGGCCACACGAATATCCTCGTCGGCCGTACCAGTGTTACGTGGTAACTGGGACGTATTGCCTTCGGTTATTGGCATTTTCATTGGTGCACCTTGCAATTCAACTCTTTGCTCTCCTTCGTTCACTCCCAATGGGTTGAGCAGTTGCTGTAGAATGTATTTTCAAATTGTATTTTTCAATTCTTCACTAAATAATGATGTTATTGTCTATTCTTTTGTACTTGTTACCTCAGCTGGTGTGTGGAATGATTCTTCTTCCTGGTTTTTCGCCCGGTCGCCTTCGTTGCCCTCAATCTCGCCTACACCATCTCTTTCCCCATTCGCATCAGTTTCCTTGTTTATCTCGTTCTGCTCCTGTGTCAACCCTAAGCTGAATGACGGCATGCCAGCTTGCGTATCGTTTTCTGCCATGCCCAACCTCGCCTCAAGCTCGCCTACACCATCTCTTTCCCCATTCACATCATTTTCCTTGTTTATCTCGTTCTGCTCCTGTGTCAACCCCAAACTGAATGATGGCATCCCAACTTGGGCATCGTTTTCTGCCATACCCCCCTCTACCTCATCGACTTCCATCCTTTCTGATGCGGTCCTCAATGACTCTTCTACATTTTCAGCATGGTTTGGGTTGTGCATAGTAGTGCACATTGCCTTAACTACTACATATCCCTGCCCAATTCTTAGCAACATTCTGCTGGCGTCCAATAGCATCTCAAATGTGGTATGGTGTATCGTGCATTCGCCTGCGTTGTCGGCAAGTGTAGTTAGGTCTTTGACGTTCTGTATTACTTGTTGCGCCCCTTTTTCAAACATGTCCTCCATTGCCTGAAATACAGTGTATTGTGATTTATCACAATCTACATTTCATAACTGCTATGTAATAATTGTTGTATGTGCAAGTTCATGCAATATTTATCATTTTGTATTGCATTATTCTTATGAAGTGAGGCGTTTGAAATTTTACCTTGATCCGATCATCACCTTCATCTTCTTGATTTTCTTCCATAGGTTCATGTTGTGCACCATTGCCTCCATCCTAGTATCATCACGTACGAATATTATTTTCTAGTATCATTTTGAATTAATTAATTGTGCACTACCACTTCTTGTAAGTGTGCAAGCAGAATACTTGGACATTGTGTGAAAGTAATTCTTTTTAAAAAAAAAAAAAAGTTTTCCCATATTCTAACCTGTGCAATTTGACCTTTCACTTTGTGCAACCAGTTACCAACAGGTTAGGTTTCGCACTATGTTATTTGCACTACCCCATGTGCCTGGTGTGCAACGCGTTTCTTTTCCCCTACTTTGATATTAATAAATTGTGCACTACCACTTCTAGTAAGTGTGCAAGCTAAATACTTTTAAGTGTGCAAGCAGGACAGAACAAAATTACTTTTAATTCTGCACTGCCACTTCATTGCGCATTCCCCCTTCTCCTAAGTGTGCAAGCAGAACAGAATTCCTTTTAAATGCAAGAATAAACTGTGCATTCTCATATTACAAATAATTCCAATAACCCATTTGTGCTCACCTCATTCATTACCGCCTCCGTTTCCAATGCCAGCTCAATGTTCCCTAATCCAAATCCGCCCTTTTTAATCTCTGCAAATTCTCAATCATTCAACAGCTTTGATGTCCATCCTTTGAACGCGGGCCTCCCTCGCTCGACGTAGCGTGTGGAGTTCACAATCGTATCTACATACAGCATCTGCCAAAACATACAAAGGGTGTGCTTATTAAAATACGTGAATTACTGTAGTGGTCAATGGACTACGTTTTCAGAGTGTTGTATAATACTTTAAATGTTTAATCACTAAAACTTTGCTGGTTACCGTTATAAATGTAATTTTGCAATTCCTCATTTTAAGTAACTTAACAGAATTAGATGACTGATGTAGATTACTGATTGATTCAGATAAGAGACCAGTCAGTAATGATAAATCATGAAGAGAGTATACGAGAAAGATAACCGCACAAAAGCCAAAGACACATAATGTTTACCCAGTTCGATACGGTGTGTATCTACGTCTGGGGGACGATCACATATGCGTCCAATCCACTAAATCATAAACCAATGTACAAAGGTAGATATACAATAATCTTACCCAAGTACCCCACACAAGGTTCAAACCCAGTCTACACAAGTCTAGTAGATTGTTGAAGATGGAGAGCCATGCATACAGAAGCTAATGAAATCCCTTCACTTGGAGAGCCACTCTGATGCAGTCCACTTCAATGACGCTCTATAAAGTTGTTCCCACAACAGTGTGATCACAGTGTCCTTTCGTTTAAGCAGCAGTAACTATTCTCAAGTTCATCATCTTAATCACCGTGAACATATTGTATTGAGAAGATACATGACAATCAAAGATCTAATCTCATGTAGCAGATATGGAGTGTTTCTTCTTACTTTCGGCGTAACCCTAATTCTCCTCGAATAAGGGTACTTATAGATCCTTCAAAAACCACTCTCCATAGATGTCTTTGATTGTAGAAGGTAGGACTATAAAAGAGGAATGTAATCTCAGAAGATTAGGTCCATACCTTTCTTAAGAATATACGCTAATCATCTTTCCATATGAGTCTGATAATACCGCGTAAGCCTTTTAAGAAACCAGCTTCCTAAATCAGATCTTCAGTGTCAGTCCTTCTGTTGTTGCTTCTGATTGATCAGTTATCCATAGAGATAAACGGACAGACTCTAAACCTATCTTAGTATGCCATAATAATATTGCCAATTATAATATGGGGTTTTTGAACATTTAAAAACACTAACAAACTCCCCCTTTGGCTATTATTTGGCAAAACAACTCGACTAGAAACTTAAGGAACTAAGATAGGTTATTATAAAGAAGCAACCTATATGTCCAAACAGATTACATATAATGAAAACAGAAACATAGGATCCAAAATAGTTTAGGATCAAAAAACATAAACGCCCAGCCAGGGCCAGAAGGGACTCAAACAAAAACCAAAAAAAAATAAAAAATAAACTCCCCCTGAGTTCATACTACTCCCCCTTTTTGCCAATTGTAGCCAAAGATCAAGCATTGGAGGGAGAGTCACTATCAGACTTCACAGGATCAGCAGCAGCAGCAGCTTCAGTCAGGCTCAAACGAAGAAGAACAGTAGCTAGCTCAGTACGGGCACCTGTCAGTTGCTTTGAAATAATGCTGTGCACCATCTCAAGATCAGCAACTCTTGCCTTCAGCTGTATGGAAACATGAACATCCTTAGCATGAGGAGAGTCATCAGGCACAGCATCTAGTTCAGGATTGGATGGGACAGTCACAGGAACAACATCCCGAATGTGATCTCCAGACAGAAGATGTTTATCAACAGTATAAAGCAGCGTTGGGCTAATCACTTCACTGGGCATAGGCTCAAGGCCCTGAGTGGTAAGGATGCCAAAAATCAGATTTGGGAAGGGTAGTCTTACCTTCTGTTCGCGTGGGTGAATCAGGGTGAGGATGTGATAGTAAATCCATTTGCCCAGATCAAGTTGCATCTTTGTTTCAATTCGAAATAAGAACCCAGCCAGAAGCTTGCCAACTGTGTGAAAATGGGCTGATGGGAGCCAGTTGTGAAGAGCTAGGTGGTGTAAAATCACATATATGGACGTGAGATGGGAGCTTTGCAGATAGTCCTTGTCACCCGTAGGCCATGATTCTGTATGCCCACCGGTCAGAGTTTTGGCAACTAAGTCCCAGTCAGTAACAGCTTCTTCTTGAACTGCTGGCAAGCCATAGTATTCATTAATCATATCCGGCCCAAAAACATACCACCTTCCTCTGATAAAGATCTGCATCGGTCGTGGCCCTGTGAGAACGTCAATCTCATTATTGAGATTGCAATAGAATTCATATGTGAGCAGCTTAGAGTAAGGGTAGATGTCCGTGACAGTTTCCAACAATCCTACTTCATTCAGCAAGGGCAGAATGTCACAAACGGAGTTCAGCTGGTTCTCATCCACCAATCTTTGAACAATAAGATCCCTTCTAACCATAGTGGCCCATTTGGTCTGTGCAGCAGGAGATACAAACTGAGGCCGGTAAACAGATGGGTCAGTTTCTTCAACATGTGGGACCTCAGGGGTGATACTTCGACCTCTCGATCGAGTGGATGGCTTCCCTTTTCTGACAGAAGGGGCTGGTACAGAGGTAGCTTGAACAGCAGTAGATCCTTTTTGCTTAACAGACGATCGCAGAGTCTTAAACACTTGTTGAACAGGCGGGTTTCCTTCAGGCTTAACATTCTCATTCAACTTTCTCTTCTTCTCAGGCTGATCCACATCAGCATTATCATCACCGGTCTCAACAACAACCTTTACCGGGACATTCTTCCTTTTTGACCGTCTTGTTTCCTTGGTTGGGGACTGAACCGGAGTCACAGAGTGGCTAGAATCAGAAACATTTGCAGACGAGCTTCCAATAATATTCGAAATCTCTCGAATTTTGAAATTCGTGGAGTCAGGATGAGCAGTTGCCTCAACAGTTGGAACATCAGATTGAAGTGCTTGAGATCCATACACTTCAGCCAGTATTTTATCATCTTCACTGGAGGATTCGGAAGGATGAATCACTCGATATGGTTGAGGGATGGAAGCAGATGGTAGCCCAGCAAAGTGTTGCACATGTTCCAGACTCTCTCCAAAAGATGTTGCAGTGTAAACAGGAATTCCACCTGTTTTCTCAGACTTGTGGGGGCTTGATAAATCAACAGTTTCAACAGTAGCAGGTAAAGCAGGAGTATCAACAGCAGAACAAGTTTCTTTAGTTTCATCAATATTCTCAGCAGGAGGTAGAGCAATATTATCAGGAGAGTAAACGACTAAACTCAGTGGATTTAGCTCATCAGTGGACTTTGTTTTCTCATCAGACACATGCAAGACATCAGTTTTCATACCAACAGATTCACTCAAAGGCAGAGATAAAGAATCAACATTCATAAGAGGCTTCTCGGAATCCAAAGCAGTTAAATTTTCAGAAATAACAGGCACACAAGATGGGGTAGTAGAAACATCAGGTTTATCTGGTGAAATTTCAATAGGAGTTTCAGAAAAGTTTGACCTGTTTCAGAGGATCTCCTGTCTGTGTGTTGCCTCTTTTTGAGCAGCTGCGAGATACAGAGGTTGCGCCTCCTCTTGCCATCGAGAGGCCTCAACCAATTCTAGGGCTCGATGTGCAAAGTATTGGAGGAATGCCCCGGCCCGATTTCCATCCAAGGGTTCTGGAATATATGCAGGAGAAACTTCATCACTGGCTTCAGAAACCATCATAAGCAGTTCAGTCGCATCATCTTCAGACCATTCTGTATAAAACTCTGGGTAATAGGTCATCACAGTTACTAAAATCTCGTCGCGAAGTAGAGGATCAAGTTTGAGCTTCTTCTTCATAGCAAACTGCAGCAGCATCTGAATATGCTTAAGGGCCACCTCCGGAGAGTGTGTCTTGCTTCCAAGTTTGATAATGATGTTTCTTACAGGGTCTGCCATTGAAGGTTATGTGCGAAGAGAAGAGCAGATCACTGAAGGCAGATATGCAAGAGAGATAGAAAGCTGAGAGCTGTGGTGATCGAAGATGTGTTTTTCTTCTTGACCCGGTATCAAATAGGCTTAAGGGTGATGAACCCTAATTAATGCGGCTTGTCAAATATCATGCATACGCGATTGATTGACACAACGGTACAACTCCTTTTTAGGAAGGAAACGAAACCCAAGAAAATTTGAAATTCGAAAAGAAATTAAGATCTTTTAAGATATCTCTGAGAAGCATAATGTTAAATAATCTTCTTAACATAAATAGAGAGGAGTCTTTAAGGAAAGTCAAATCATAACACTGACCCGTATACACCAACTCCTCTCTGACGGACCAACTGCTTTAATCAGTCAATTCTGCAAATTCCCAGAGCAGATCTGAGAATTTCAAAACGATTAGCATCCAATGGCTTAGTCAGAATGTCCGCTTGTTTGTCAGTCTGAATGTATTCCAATTCAATTTCCTTGGATTCAACCAGGTCTCTGATGTAATGATGCCTGATGTCAATATGCTTCGTTCTAGAATGTTGAACAGGATTATTGGAGATGTTAATAGCACTGACATTGTCACAGAAGAGTGTCATTGTTCCTTGAGTAAGACCATAATCCAGAAACATCTGTTTCATCCATACCAACTGAGTACAGCAACCACCTGCAGCTATGTATTCTGCCTCTGCAGTGCTTAGAGAGATTGAATTCTATTTCTTGCTTAGCCATGATACTAAGTTTTTACCAACGAAGAAACATCCTCTAGAAGTACTTTTCCGATCATCAATATTTCCTGCCCAATCAGCATCACAGTATGCAACCAGATTCAGTTCACTGTCCTTGGAATACCAGAGTCCATACTGTATCGTTCCTTTAATGTACTTCAGAATGCGTTTTGCAGCTATCAGATGAGATTCCTTTGGATCAGATTGATACCTTGCACAGATTCCTACACTGAACATTATGTCTGGTCGATTGGCTATTAGATACAGCAGACTGCCTATCAAGCTACAATAGACTGTGTTATCCACTAATGCACCAGTTTCATCTTTCGATACTTTTGTAGAGGTGGAGATAGGTGTTCTGGATGATTTACATGATTCCAGATCAAACTTTTTGACAAGATTCTTTGCA